TCCCGCTGCAGCGTGGGCCGCATTTTCGGATCGTTGTTTTGCCTCCGTCGTTCAGGATGGCGTTATCGCCCCAGCGCGGGCCTCTTTCTCGCGCGCCCATCCGCCCGCCACCACCGCGCCGCACCACGCCCCACCCCGCCGCACGCACACCCACCGCCACTTCCACCCACCAACGCACGCACGCACGCACGCGCACCACCACCGCGCACCGCCACCACCACCGCACTACCCCACCCACCACCACCACGCTACACCGCGTCACACCACATCACACGCGCGCACACACGCACGCACGCACGCACGCACGCACGCACGCACGCACGCACGCACGCACGCACGCACGCACGCACGCACGCACGCACGCACACACACACACACACACACACACACACACACACACACACACACACACACACGCACACACACACACACCACCCACCACCACCAACGCCATCACGCACGTACGCACCTGGCCCACCACCAAACCACCAAGACGCCACACCACGTCACACCACAGCACACGCGCACACACGCACACACACACACACACACACCAACACCACCACCACCACCACCACCACCACCACCACCACCACAACAACCACAACCACGCACACACGCACGCACGCACGCGCACCACCACCCACTACGCACACGCGCGCGGAGCCACAGGTCCGCTACGACACGCGTCCGCGGATAGAGAAAATCAGCGCCATGGTAAGGGAAGGGAGGAGGGGTAGGATGTCAGATGTTGACGCGGGCGCACCTAACTTGTCCTCCTCCCCTCCCCTTCCCCATCCTTATCTTCCTCCTTCTCCTCGGCGGCGCCACAGTGGCCCTGGGCCCACGGCGAAGCAGTAGCGATCATGTAACATGGGCCAGCGGAATGAGCGAAGCGATTGAATAAAGGGTTCGGGGCGAGGGGGGCTGGGGCCAAGGCCAGGTGAGGAGGCTGGGTCCAGGGCCAGGTGCCGTGCCGAAATAAAGAAGTCGGGCGGAGGGGGCGTGTTGGCTGGCGGGGCCGGCGCCGTGCCAAAATCTAGCTGTTGGGGCGGAGGGGGTGTGCTGGCTGGTGGGACCAGCGCCGACGGGGCGCTCTGGCTGGCGGTCTGGCTGCGCTGGTTGGCGGGGGAAGGATGCGGACGGCCGGGAGGCTGCTTCGGCATGGCTGCTTTAGAAAGTTGATGCGGAGGGGGCGCGCTGTGAGGCGCGGGCCGAGGGGCTGCATCGACCGGTGCCGTGCCGAAATAAAATGGTCGGAGCTCTAAGACACCCTGTGCAAGAGAATAAAAGAGTCGGGGCGGAAGGAGCGCGCTGGCTGGTGTTTGGGGGGACGCGGAGGGGGCGCGCGGGATGGGGGAGGAGGGTGCCGTGCCGAAATGAAAGGGTCGGGGCGGAGGGGGCGCGCTGGCTGGGGGGGGTGGGGGGGGATGCGGCGGGGGCGCGTGGGATGGGGGAGGGTGCCGCGCCGAAATGAAAGGGGCGAGGTGGGGGGGGCGCGCTGGCTGGTGGGCGGGGGGGATGCGGAGGGGGCGCGCGGGATAGGGGGGGTTGCCGTGCCGAAATGAAAGGGTCGGGGCGGAGGGGGCGCGCTGGTTGGCAGGTGGGGGGGATGCGGAGGAGGCGCGTGGGATGGGGGGGGCGTGCCGAAAGAAAGGGTCGGGGCGGAAGGGGCGCGGAGGGGGCTCTGCGATTTCGATCGCCGATGAGTCCAACAGCCGCAGTTGCCGGTTGCACGCGAGCAGTTTCGAGGCGCCTACTCCTTGGAGGCCGCGGCCGCGGAGCCCATCCACACCTCTCGCGGCCCGGCCCAAGCGCCCCTGGAATGGGTTCGGCGCCCGGCAAAGCGACCGCGATCCCCAGCGCCGATCGCCGACGACCGTCGGCGCCTGTCGTGGCAAGGCCCTCCGCACCTTGTCCGTCGCTTCGCGCTCCAGCGACGTCATTTCGGCTGCGGCGCGGATCTGGGGCGATCGCCGTGCTGTGTCCGTGGCGCCGCCGACGTGAGAACCTCGCCGTCGCCCCTGCAACCTCTGTAAAATTCTGGGTCCATCCCGGATTGCTTGCTCCGCCGTTTACCCGTGGCGCTGACCGTCGAGTTCTTCGCGCTGGCGATGGCGACCAGGGCCGCGAGAAACGTTGAGCGCCAAAATGAAAGGGTCGGGGCGGAGGGGGCGCGTTGGCCGCCTGGTGGGGGGATGGTGGTCCTGGTGGGCGTGGGGGGGGCCGTGCCGAAATAAAAGGGTCGGGGCAGAGGGGGCGCGCTGGTTGGTGGGTGGGGGGGATGCGGAGGGGGCGCGTGGGATGGGGGGGGTGCCGTGCCGAAATAGACGGGTCGGGGCGGAGGGGGCGCGCTGGCTGGTGGGTGGGGGGGATGGGGGCGCGCAGGGGTCGCGCTGGCTGGGCGCGCTGGCTGGTGGGTGGAATGGGTGGGTGATGGAGGGGGTGCCGTGCCGAAATAAAGTGGTCGGAGCTCTAAACACCCCATACACAAGAATAAAGGAGTCGGGTCGGAGGGGTGTGCTGTGCCGAAATGAAGGGGGTCGGGGCGGAGGGGCGCGCTGGCTTGTGAGTGGGTGGGTGGGTGTGGGGTGGGCGTAACAAAAGGGTTGGGGCGGGGGTGCGCGCTGGCTGGTGGGCGGGGGGGATGCGGAGGGGGCGCGCGGGGCGCGCGGGGAGGGAGTGGGGGCCGTGCCGGAATAAAGGGGTCGTGGGGCGGAGGGGGCGCGCTGGCTTGTAAGTGGGGGTTGCGGGGGATGGGGGAGGAGGGTGACGTGCCGAAATGAAAGGGTCGGGGAGGAGGGGCGCGCTGGCTAGTGGGTGGGGGGATGCAGAGGGGGTGTGCCGCGCCGAAATAAAGTGGTCGGGGCGGAAGGGGTGTGCCGTGCCGAAATAAACCGGTCGGGGCGGAGGGGCGCGCTGCTGGTGGGTGGGGGGGGGCGGAGGGGGGTGCCCCATAGAAAAAAGGCGTCGGGACGGAGGGGGTGTGCCGTGCCGAAATAAAGGGTCGGGCGGAGGGCGCGGCTGGAGGGGTCGGGGCGGAGGGGTGTGCCGTGCCGAAATAAAGGGGTCGGGGCGGCGGGGGTGCGCCGTGCCGAAATAAAGGTGTCGGGGCGGAGGGGTGCGCCGTGCCGAAATGAAGTGGTCGGGGCGGAGGGGCGCGCTGGCTGGCGGGGGGGGGGGGGTAATAAATATAGGGGTCGGGGAGTGGCGTGCGAGTGGGGGGGGCGGAAGGGGGTGTGCCGTGCCGAAATAAAGGGGTCGGGGCGGAGGGGCGCGCTGGCTGGTGGGTGGGGGGGCGTAGGGGGTGTGCCGTGCCGAAATAAGAGGTCGGGCGGAGGGGTGTGCCGTGCCGAAATATAAGGGTCGGGGCGGAGGGGCGCGCTGGCTGGTGGGTGGGGGTGATGCGGAGGGGGTGTGCCGTACCAAAATAAAGGTGTCGGGGCGGAGAGGCGCGCCGGCTGGTGGGTGGGGGGGGCGTAGTAATGGGCGTGCGGTGCCGAGATAAAGGGGTCGGGCGGAGGGGCGCGCCGGCTGGTGGGTGGGGGAGCGTTGGGGGTGTGCCGTGCCGAAATAAAAGGGTCGGGGCGGAGGGGTGCCTGGTGGAATGTGTGGGTGATGGAGGGTGTGCTGGCTGGTGGAATGCGTGGGTGATGGAGGGTGTGCCGTGCCGAAATAAAGTCGTCGGAGCTCTAGACACCCTGTGCAAGAGAACAATCACAACGAATTGCCGGGAAGGCCCCCACCTCCCGAGGCCCCACCTCCCGGGACCTCCCGGGAAACGTTTCCCTTTAATGCCTGAACGGTCATTTCCGTCAATTCGGGACCTCCCGTGATCTCGCAAACCGCAGAGATGGAGTGCGAATACGGAAATTCTCCTCCTCCTCCTCCTCCTCCTCCTCCTCCTCCTCCTCCTCCTCCGTCTCCTCCTGTATGCGAACGCACCCAGTGGGGCCTTGGAGTCGAAAAGTAAAAGATAAAGGGAATACAAGACACTTAACGGGAATACAAGACAATTAGCGGGAATGCATGACAAGACAATTAACGGGAAGACGAAACAATTAACGGAAGACAAGACAATGCAAAGGAATCCAGAATAATTAACGGGAAGAGCTAACGGGAAGGGAAGAATCAAGGGGAATGGAATTAAAGGGAAATGAAATCATCTCAAAAACCCGATCCCCCCCTTAGTAACACAACGGGCGCGCTCAATGCATGGCAAAACGACTGCGCGCGGCACCGCGGGGACAAACACCACTTTGAGAACCACCACCGCGCAATCCTTGACACTGCTAGAAAAATGCTTTGAAGAGGATGCTCGCGAAGCTGAGGCGAGAACCCAACACTGAAAAGGAACCGCCCGCCGCCCGTGAGGCTGCTGCAAAATGCCAAGACGACCGTGCGCGCCGCTCTGGCGAGAGCACGGTCTTGAAGACGAGCCCCCTCCATCCCCGAGGCTGCTGCGAACTTCTGGCATGCATGTGCACGGCGCCGGGGCAAGAACTGCACGATATAAAAAAAACTCGCCCCCCCCTCCATCCCTGAAGATGTTGCGAGCCTGTGAGACAAGTGGAGGAGGAGGAGGAGGAGGAGGAGGAGGAGGAGGAGGCGGAGGCGGAGGCGGAGGCGGAGGCGGAGGAGGAACAAGTGCGCGCGGCGCTCAAGCGAGAGCCTGGCGTAGAAAACTGCCCCCCTCCACCCGTGAAGACTTCGCACTGTCGCTCCACAAAGAGCTCGCGGCGCTCGGGCGAGGGCCACAGTCATGTTTGGAGCTGTCGTGTGCTCTTAAGACGAACGAGCGCGGAGCTAAGGCGACAGCCAAGTCTTGAAAACGACCCGCCCTGCACCCTTGAGACTGTGGCGAACTTTGGAGACGAAAGTATGTGGTGCTATAGCGAGAGCCCACACGTTTTCACCAAGTACTACCATCGAGCGGAAGGTGTACGCTGGATGCACTCACCCACCAATCCTTCAGATCCAGGCGTCTGCAAATCTACATGTCAGGGCCGCCTCCTGCAGAATGCGCACGTACAACCGACGGTGTGACGATAATCCACGAGAGCCACCGGGAGCGCCTGCGCCTCCGAATATATCATGGCCTCGACGTGGTCCACGCAGCCCCCATTACTCGACTGATCCGCCCACACAGAATCAAAGTCCACGCCGTCGTTGCTGTCTGGAGGTCTCGTGGCGCCCTGCATGGGGCTGGCAGTTCGAAACGACTCGCCGAGGGCAACGCGGGCAACAACTAACGTCCTCGTGGCATGCTTAGCCAAAGGATTTGCGCGCTCCTCTGTGTAATCATCACTTTTAGAAGAATTGGCAGCGAAATATGCTGCCACACCGAAGAGCTTGCCAGTAGCCTCGCCACCCCGCTGCGGGTTAAAACCACCCTTGCATATTTGTTCTAATGTGGACGGCACAGCCCCGTGGAATAAGAAGTGCTCGTTCACGTCGAAGTCGTGCATGTTCACTGGCACCTTCAAATGCGAGAGAGCCGCAATCGGAGTGCACGTGCCTTGTCGCCTCTTGTCTTCGATATTCTCGAGTTTTGCCAGATATAGTTTTTGCAATCTTGGGTTCACTACCGATCGCACCTGGATAACATCCAGCTGCGGCGGATCACAATACACTGCAGACCGGTAAGCCGCCCTGTGCCTGGCGACTGTGCTGACGACAATATGTGACATGAATTTGCCGAATGGGGCTTCTTGCGGAACTGGGTCGACTCTGTATTCCAAATTTGCCGGCCCAACGGGCCAGAGGCGTGCTAAGATCTCCTGTAACTGGTTCACAATTCTTCTAGTTCGGGCGCGCGGGGCGGCCCCTGGGGGTCCCCCGGCGAGAAGTACCCCGACCGCAGCCCGGGAAGGTCCCGGGAAGGTCTACTCAGAGATGGTTTTCCTCCTGGGTACGGCCTCTCAGGCCCCCCAGAGCGCGCCAAGAGGGCCCCAAGACGCCCCCAAGACTGCCCAAGAGGCCCCCGAGACGCCCAAAGGACGCTCCAAGACGCCGAAGATGATCCCAAGACGGCCCAAGAAGCCGCCAAGACGCTCCAAGTGGCCTCCAAGAGGCCTCACAAGAGCGCCCCGAGAGGCCAAAATCATCAATTTTACGATGGTTTTGGAAGGATTTTGGCCTTGTCGCATTTTCGGCTTTCCGATGCTGCAAGACGGCCCAAGAGGCCTCAATAGCGCACGAAGACGGCTCAAGAGGCCCCCAAGGAGGCCCCCAGAGAGCCCAAACGGGCCCCGAGACGGCCCAAGAGACGCCCAAGACGGCCCAAGAGAGCCCCAAGACGGCCCCAAGAGGGGCCCAAGATGGGGACCACGAACCGAAACCTCAAGCCTTCCGCCCCAAGAGGGCCCCAGGAGGCCCCCAAGATGGCCCAAGATGCCGCCAGGAGGCCCCCAAGAGACCCCAGGAGGCTCCAAGGAGGCTCAAAAGAGGCCCTACAAGGCTTCAAAAATGTCTCCCAGGCGTCCCCGAACGGCCTCTCAACAGACCCCAGGGCCTCCCAAAGAAGCACCTGGACGACGGCCCTGTTTGGCCCCAAGAGCGCCGCAAGATGCCATCGAGAGGCTTCCTCCTCCGCCCTTTTCTATTCCTCCTCCTCCTCCTCAGATTTATCTTCATCCTCCTCCGTTCCTTCTCATCCTCTTCTCCTTCTCCCTTCCCCCTCCCCATCCTCATCATCCTCCTTCCGGCGGCGCCGAAATGGCCCCGAGCCCGCGCCGAACCAGTAGCGATCATTCAATACGGGCCAGGGGAGTGAGCGAAGCGATTGAATAATTGGCTATCCCCCTCCCCCTTCCCCCCTCCCCTGAAACTAACCCACCACCCGCCGCCTCCGAAGAATGGCAGCGGCCCGACGGCACCGCATTGACAACAACACCCCGACAAACGACAGCGGCGAAGCAATATGGGCCGGCGGAATGAGCGAAACGATTCAATAAACGGAAAGACGTGGCAACTGGGCAGCTTGGATCATTTGCTTCTCGAGATTGATTGCAGTGTGCTGGTGGCGTACGTCCGGTCCTGGAGGTTCACCACCATCTGTCGCGTGCCACAACTTCAAAGTGCCGCCATCTGAACAAGAGAGAATCTTCTTCCCGTCCGGAGAGAAGCAACAACCAAAAACACGATATGTGTGCCCATACAAGGTCTGCAGCAACGTTCCGTCGGTCGCGTGCCACAACTTCAAAGTGTGGTCATCTGAACAAGAGAGAATCTTCTTCCCGTCCAGAGAGAAGCAACAACCCAAAACACACCATGTGTGCCCATTCAAAGTCTGCAGCAACGTTCCGTCGGTCGCGTGCCACAACTTCAAAGTGTCGTCGTGTGAACAAGACAGAATCTTCTTCCCGTCCGGAGAGAAGCAACAACCAATAACACTATATGTGTGCCCATACAAGGTCTGCAGCAACGTTCCGTCGGTCGCGTGCCACAACTTCAAAGTGTGGTCATCTGAACAAGAGAGAATCTTCTTCCCGTCCAGAGAGAAGCAACAACCCAAAACACACCATGTGTGCCCATTCAAAGTCTGCAGCAACGTTCCGTCGGTCGCGTGCCACAACTTCAAAGTGTCGTCGTGTGAACAAGACAGAATCTTCTTCCCGTCCGGAGAGAAGCAACAACCCAAAACACAATCTGTGTGCCCATACAAGGTCTGCAGCAACGTTCCGTCGATCGCGTGCCACAACTTCAAAGTGTGGTCATGTGAACAAGAGAGAATATTCTTCCCGTCCGGAGAGAAGCAACAACCCAAAACACAATCTGTGTGCCCATTCAAGGTCTGCAGCAACGTTCCGTCGATCGCGTGCCACAACTTCAAAGTGTGGTCCTGTGAACAAGAGAGAATAGTCTTCCCGTCCGGAAAGAAGCAACAACCAAAAACACTATCTGTGTGCCCATTCAAGGTCTGCAGCAACGTTCCGTCGGCCGCGTGCCACAACTTCAAAGTGTGGTCATCTGAACAAGAGAGAATCTTCTTCCCGTCCGGAGAGAAGCAACACCAGTTAACTTCTCCTTTGTGCCCGCGCATGGTTTGGCTGGTAGAAAACGCCATTGGAGGCAGACTGTGGTCCAACGCCAAACCAATAACACCACAATCGAACCTTGATCCAAAAGGGATAACACGGAACGCGAGAGCCCGCACTTTGAAAACGGTGTGGTCTTCATCACTGAAGCTGTTTCAGCGGTGAAGTCGAATGCGCGCGGCGAATCAAGCGAGAGATACATCTTGAAAATCACCCGCCCTCCACCCCTGAATCCTTGCATGTTTCAACTGTAGAGCTCCAGTGCGAAAATCCCACGTTCCAAGCGAAACGCCAAGCCCGCCCTGCCAGCGCGTCGGGGAGGGGGGGGGGCGGGGGGGGCGACGAGGAAGAGTCGCGCAAAAAGGTCTGCGGGAGATCTGGCGACTCCTCAACCTCCTCCTGTTCCTCCTGAAAGGGGGAGAACGGCTCGGGGAGGGATGGGGCAGAAGGGATGGGAAGGGGATTGAGAGGATGGGGATCAGGCGCGCGCGCGGCGTCGGCTAGGGTTCTGACCCGCGCCCGATCTTGCAATGGGCTCGAGCGGGGCCCGAGCTGGGAGTCGCTGCGACCCCCCCCCCCCCCCCTCGCGAAGAGGAGAACGAGGAGGGCGAGGGCGGGGGCAAGGCCTGCTAGAAAAGTGAGCCTGTCCAATTCCTCGTCTCTCTGAGGGCCGCCTCGAACTCCTGCGACGCCCTTGCCCTTGGGGCGGCGGGGGGGGGGGGCTGGGGGCGGCGCCACCTCGGCGCGCCGCCCCCCGCGCGCCTCGGCGCGGTCGGCGGCGATCCTGGCCTCTTGGCAGGGGGCGAGGGCGAGAGGGGCAGGCGGATGGGGGGGCAGGCGCGGCGGGGGAGGGGAGGGGCAAGAGGCCGCGAAGCAGCCTGCCCCTCGGGGAGGCCGGGGGGCAGGTCAAAGAAAGCCTGATCGTCGTCTGCCTCAGGGTCGCCAGGGGCAGGAGCGCAAGGCTCCTTAGCTCCTCCTCGGGGGCCCTCGTCCTCGCCGCTGGAAGGCCCGGCGAGGAATCGACCCGGCCCCGGGCCAACTCGCGCCCTTCCTTGAAAGCGACGGCCTCGGGGCCCAAAGCCGGCAAACTGGGGGGCAATCTTTGGATGACTGGAGCCGGCGTGCCCCAGACGGCCCGAATGGCCCCTGGCGCGGACAGTGAAACAATCAAGAGGACTATCTCGCGTGTCGCGCGAGTCCTGCTCATCAACACAGATGGGGGGGCCGGGGGCCCTCATCTGCAGGAGCAAGTAGGGGGCCTGCCGAGTCAACTATCGCAGGAGCGATGGCTCTGCACAGACTGCTGGGACAGGCCTTCTCAGAGGCCGCTCTGAAACTGCCGTCGGTCCGTTTGCCCAAGAGGGCCGCGCGAGGCCCGCAGCCGCGGGGGCGCAGACCAGCGCCAGGGGTGGCCTGCAAGAGGCCAGCCAGTGTAGGCACGCGAACCGAAACAACGGTAGCGGGGGCCCGCCCTCCCGTAGAGGGGCAGATCTCAGGGCCTCGACGTTCGCATTGATCGAAGCCAGCTCTGGAGGCGCAAGGAGCTGACCAGATAACCAGCATGGCCCCCCACTCGAAAGACGACGGAGCTCCTCTGACCCGCGTTGCCGAAGCATGGTGCTCTAGCCAGAACGTGCCAGCTCGAAGACGTTCTGCCATGAGGCGTACTGGTGAAAAGTACAACTGCGTGCCAACTCTGACCTGGCCAGACTGCCTCTGCGCGATGCTGGCCATGCCCCGCGCGCTTCATGGGGCGCAACGGGGAGGGCCGCCATCGTGTCCTCGGGAGGCGGGCCACGTTTCGCATGGCGGTCCTCCCCCTGAATTGACTACTCTGTGACATCTGATGTGATCCGCCCATTCTAGCATCGTAGCATCACGCGCGAGGTCGCCCCTGACTGGATCCATCTCGATGCCCGCGATGAGAACAATCACCTCGACTGCACTTGATGCGACCGAATACTCAATGCGCCATTGAACGTCGCCCTGACGGCCATGCCCAAAGAACAGGTTGAGCACGAGAAAGGACACGCGAAGTATCCTCACCGGTACCTGGTGCGCTGCAACTCCGCGCTACTCTCCTAGCTTGTATATGTAGTAGAAGGGGTCTCGAGTGGGTTCCTCTGCGACCTGCCCGGGGCGATCAGTGCATTGCCTGGCGCGGTCACTTCGAGTTCCTCTGGGATAGCGCAGTCAGCCCCCAAGAAGACTTCTTCAGCTTCGGCAGTGCTGAGCGAGAGAGCGTAAGCTGCAATAGACGGGCGCTAAAACTCCGTGCGTCCTGCGTGCTGGGAACTCCGCGCGCCGCCTGCCTTGTCCCGCCTTCCTCTGAGCCCTGAGCCTGCTATCCTTCTCCCGGTGCATGCTGGCCGCTTCTTCATGCGTGCAGTGTTCGCCTGGCACCCAGTATCCGACTGCGCAAACTGGAGCAAAGGCTAGGCGTGCTGCGAGAGCTGCGCGGCGAGCGAACTGCTGCATGCGCGTGGGGCACTGCGCGCCGGCACCTTGGATGCGCTCGATGAGCTGCGCGCGTGCACGATGCTTCCTGACGACGCGCGCGCGGAGACCCTTATTATTGATGCTCGGGGCTGTCGAGTGCTGGAGGATATCCAGCGTCTTGCAGAATCAAGAAAGAAAATATGCCTCGGCTGCTTCGGTTGGGGACTACCCCTGCAGCTGTCGCACTGCGGCCGCTAGAGCATATGTAACTGTGTGTTTCCATGCTGTGGGCGGCCCCTTAGTTGTCTACCCCCAAGCGCGCAGATCCCGGGCAGGGGGGGGGGGGGAATTCTCGAAATCGAGCGAGATACGGCTGCAGCCAGACAAGACCCCCCCCCGAGACCTGTCACACTCGCGCGGGCACGCACCTGCAATATCTAGAACATGCGCGGGACCTGCGCGTAGAAATCGCCCGTGGAGACCCAAGCGACGAGCTGCCAGTTGCTGCTCCACCGGTGGCCTAGCAACAGCAGCGAGCACTGCCTTGTTCTGAACAGCGGTGTCGTCGCGCCTTGGGAGCCTCGCCGCTGCTCAGTAGTATCTCTACATACGGCCCTGCAAATTGCGAGCCTGCGCCTTGGTGAGGAATCCCCAGGTGCTGCTCTGGAACAACTTGCGTGAAACAGCCTGCGAGCCCACGAAAATCACGGCCGACGTAGTCTCGATTGCGGTTTGCTGTAGCACTCGATTGCGAAGAGATTTTCAAGCGAGCTGACAGTTTTGTTCCCGATGAGCAATCTCTGCTCCCATGGGGCCTGTCATATCGCGCGTCGCGCCGAGACGCACGTAGCGCATGACCCCGTCGATCGTCCCTACCGACTCCGTCTGAACAAGGATCTTATTCTGCGCGTCGTGCACGAGAGCGCGCTGAAGCTTGCGCGCGCCGTGGCCTCGGAATTGAAACGTAAACGCCGCTTCCCCAGGCTTGGCATTCACTCTGAGACCTCTCTCGGCAAAGGCATCGACGATGGCAGCCGCTAAAAGTGGAGCTTGAAAGAAGAAAAACCAACGCTTCCCATGCAGGCGAAGTGGGCGTCGTCAAAGATAGCACCCTCCATGGCGTGCCTGGTATGGACTGGCACTTCCCCCGATGAATAGACTGCTAGAAGAGCTGTGCCATGCTGGAATACGTGAGGAGACCCCAAGATCCAAAAGCCGTTCCTGGGCAAGCATCATAATCCTGGACATGAACGCGACGTCTCCATGCTGCTGGCCTGGTCCTGACCCTAGGACAGGAAAGGCGACCCCCTCCCCGTCGCGCACGTAGAAACAGGACTGCTCGTAGGCGTCGGAAACGAGGGCCCTCCTGCGGGCCGAGACCCCAGCTTCCTCCATGGCGGTTTATTGCTTTATTCAAATGCCTTGCAAGTTCGTGCACGGCCTCCTGAGGAGGCCAACGCGCCCTTATGAGCCTGGCGAACGATTCGTCGTCGCTCGCCATAGTAATTACCATCTGTCTGATGACCTTGTAGAAGGCCCGGGTGGCATCGATTGAAGCGAAAAGCAACGGTAGATTGCGAGTCAAGGAAAGCTGCTGCATGGATCGGAGCTCTAAGGCAGACAACTCCGTGCCCCTGCACGCGATGCCTCCAAACTGGCGGTCGTGGCGGTCACTTGCAGAGCTGGGAAGGGCTCGGGCAACTTGCGCTCCCGCGATAGATCTGCATCTCTTGCCGGTTCGGGGGGGGGCCGAGGATGAATCTGTAGCTGGCGACGGCTGATGGGGCTCCCGCCTTGAACAGGCTCCAAGAGAACCCCTCCCCCTTTCACTGCGTGGGTTCGCACGCGCCGGCTGTCCTCCTGACGGCCAGGGGGTAGAACGCCGCGACGAGAGCACGGGCAAACTTGTTGACCACTGCTCCTGCTAGCCCGCATGGACCTGCCGCGGGGTCTTCGGCCAGCGCCAGAGGGGGGGTACCATTGAATGATAAATCGAAGTCGTTCGCCACATGCTCGGGCGAGGAAGGGGGGGGGGGATGCCACCGCAGGTCGCAACTGGGAACCACTGGCGCGACCCCCTCAATGCTGAAGCGATGCATCCAGCGGTTTGCAACTTCAGCAAAAGACTTGAGCGGCTGCCCGTCGATGCCAGCCAGCAGGGGGAGCGGGGGTGCAATGCGCTTCCTGCGCGAGAACGCCCCCATCGCTCGTAGTTTGCTGCGCGCCTCTGTGAAATCCTGCCTGGGCCGCGCAGATGTGATCTGAGCCGCGAGATGTTCTGCGCGCGCATCCATGTCGTGACCGACGAAAGCGGCGCAGGCATCGAGCGCCATTTGCAGGGCAGCAAGACATTCTCCAGATATGCGCATGCAATTGCCCCAGAATGCGGGGTAGCCGTAAGCAGCAGGATGAGCGTCACAGCCAGGATAAGTGGAT